TGTCGGCAATCAACTTTCGGAATACCTATTCACCAGTAAAACCCTTAAATTGATGGACAAGGCTCTAGTCAGAATTCCCGATTTTGACCCCCACAATAAGACTATGGATATCCACACACATATCGCAACCGTAGAAGAGGAGGCAATGATTAGAGGGCTGAGGAGACGGGATGAAAAAGCGAGTTTGTTGAAACGGACCTTACATAAAGAATCTATTCCATGGGTAAAGTCACTACCACACAAGGTTAGAAATGATTTTAAACAATTGAGCCTGGCAGTGATTCGGAAGTTTGGAGAATATTCGACACTCACTGAGGGGTTTTATGCTGTAAAATCGATGACCCAGGGCATGGACCAAGATCCACGTGACTACCTCGTCCAATTTAAAAGAGCGTATTATGCAGGCGATGTGAATCAATACCACGAAGGAGATAAAATGTTCAAAATTATGTTTTTTGAATCCTTGAGCCCAGAGATTACAGAAAGGGTGAGAATGGTTTTGAATCCAGAAACCGCATCCTTACGCCGCATAGAGAGCAAGGCGTACATGGCATGGTTGTATAGAGCTAAGAATCATAATTCGGATCCAGAACACAGGGAGAGGGATGAGGAACCCAGCCTCTCAGAGAGGAATAAAAATCACCGAGCAGTCCCACAATGCAGGACAGAGCAGAAACGCACGCACACATGGCAAAATAACCCAGAGAGAGGTTGGCACGAGAATGAGAGCGGCACAAAGCCGAACATTCAGGAGAATCGCAGGAGGGGGAGGTTCAGAATAGAACCATACCAACACCCCATGCCACGACACACACAAGATCAAAATTACCCACAAAGATGGCGAGGTAACAATCCAGGAAAAATTTGGCACCCAAATGGGAGAAATACTGGGCTAAAATGTACGAGAATCGCAGGAGGGAGAGGTTCAGAGCAGAACCATATCAACACCCCATCCCACGACACACGCAAGGTTCAAATTACGCACAGAGATGGGAAGATAACCACCTAGCGGGAAGGTGTTACACAGACCGCGGAGGTATGGATGCGAACATTCAGGAGAATCGCAGGATAGGAGGTCAAACACAATCGATCCAATTCCGACCAATTCCTCCACCGGCTATACCAGGAGGGAATAGAGGAATAACACAGAATGCGGTCCAAATACGTGATGAACCATCCACAGTGAGTGCGAGCGAGCGGCCAACACGCGCCCCACCCGCTGAGGTGTTAAACCCTGAGCAGGCTGCAAGTGACAGGGCTGAATGGAAGAGTGATCGGACGGTGGATAGCAGACAGCAGAGACAAAGAGAGAACACAGAGACACGCCCTGAGGAGCGCAGGCGTGAGCCTTTGAATGGAAAATATCCAAGGAAAACCAAAAATTATGTGGATCGGAGTGCTAAAATGGAGACGAATGTCCATGACGTATCGGGAATGGTGTTGAAATCCAACACACTCGTAAAAACAAAGAGGGCAACATTACGAAGGACAGAATTAAATCGACACACTGACTCGGCAAATGTGCATGTAATCGCAGAGAGAGCGAATGCCACGAACCAAGTGTCAAAGTGGGTCGTGTGCGCGAATTCTGGTTACGTGCAGCACAATTTTTCACCACACACTCCCACGACGCGAGAGAGTGAGAGAGGAAACTACAAAAACGAACCCGAAAACCGTGATCAAATTATCAAAGTGATAAGTGGTAAACCAGGCAACATGAGGAAGGTAACGCATAAATGCGTTCGAAACCGCTACCTAGCGTTTCCCAGGATTTAACAAAAACAAAAATGAATGTTCGTCAGAGTTATGATGTATGAGAACCGATGTAACGCAATATCGATGTTAACGTGTGTTATTTTCTTTGCTTAATTCAAATGTAACCAGGATTTAACAAAAACAAAAATGAATGTTCGTCAGAGTTATGATGTATGAGAACCGATGTAACGCAATATCGATGTTAACGTGTTGTTATTTTCTTTGCTTATTTCAGATGTAACCAGGTTAAGATCGTAATACGTGCACGCGCGTCGTAAGAAATAACCGCCGAGAGTAAGGGCGGCTGATGGGATGCATGACATAAAAAGGGGGCATTACTTTGTTTGAAAATTCGCCAGTGGCCAAATCGACCCCTGATAATTTTCAAAAGGGCGGACTGTTGTGTATGTACCCCCTTTTTATTTTTTTTTAATATTATTTTTTTTTAAGAATTATTCTGCCAACATAGATAATATCGTTTTTTTTTTAATAGACACGGGGCCACGTGGGAACGAACACGCCCCCACACTTCCACAGAGGCCCCACACTTCCACAGATGCGCGCATACCTCATTTCAAAGGAAAGACGGCATGAAAGAGGGTAATCAAGGTCATAAACTCCCCGAATTTCACACAAGAGGAACAAGGAATGGGGGAATTGCAGGCGGGGGGTTGCAGAACCAGGAGACACGGAGGAAGAGATAATTATATTCTGAACAAAGATAAGCCGGGATATCAGATTAAATAATCACAAGAAGTCAAATAATAAGTACGGAATTAAAGTAGAAGAGGAATCAAGGGCGGAGAAGGCTCTCAAAATTAACCAAACACAACACCCATGGGAAGCGAGCAACACGGCCGCCTTTGTCTTTCCGAGAGGATCTCCACACACAGGCACCAAGCTAGGAAATGACACCCATAAAGGGGGCAATTTCTCAAAGGAAATAAACACGTCTTCGAATAAATAAGCGCATGCGCCGGGTGCTCCCACCGTGGAAACAACCGCCTTTGTCTCCCCACAACACGGACAAACACGCACGCGAAACACACGGACGGACACACACACGGACGCAGATGGTTCAGCCCACAGGAAGGTTCTATGACAGCCTTTGAACAACTCGGGAAGCCGAGTGGAAGTTTCCGATATAAACCGAAGGAAAATCCATACAACTCAGATCGACAGGGGCTCTGGCCCCCATCACAGATCTCCAGGGCTGTGGCTCCATCTCTCCTCGTCGCCGCCAACGAAGAAGCTCCTGTCATTCAGAATGACGAGGTTTGCGGAGTAGCGACGCGTAGCTACAAGCCGAGGTCTGCACCACCTGAGAAGAATCGCTACCCTGAGTCGCAGAGCTGCGAGTGAAGCCAACAAAGACGCCAACGTCCACCCTGCCACGAACGAAGCATCGCTCCTCGTCAGAGTGACGACCAGCGAACAACCCGCAGGAAAGGCGGAGATCGCTGAACGAGCGCTGACCGTGCGCCACCTTGCGCCACCGTGCGCCACCTTGCGCCACCGTGCGCCACCGTGCGCCTCCGTGCGCCACCGCGCGCCATCGAGCGACAACGAGCGACACCTTGCGCCACCGAGCGACACCGAGCGACACGAGCGACCGAGCATCTTCAAGGACAGCATCGTGCCAACTCGTCATCTAGCAGTAGAAAGAGAGAGCGCACGAGCAGCACCAAGCCCCCGGAACCATCAAGCGCCAAGCAAGCAAGTTTCTTCAAGGAACATCGTGCCAACGCCGCTCAATCCAGCAGTGGAGAGAGAGAGAGAGAGCAAAAGCCGAGCGACACGCCGAGCGAGGGAGCAGCAGGAGCTGTTCGTATCCTCCCACACCACACAAGCTAACGACACAATTAATATTACGAGAGGACAACGCACACACAGCACGCACACGAATAAGACTTTCAAAAAGTGATCTTTGCGTTTCAAAAGGGTTGCCATTTCGAGGTGGTGCGTTCAATATCAACTGATCGTGCAAAGCAGTTGCTGCCGTCGAGTTGCATGAATAAGAAATGTTTTAGTCATTTTCGTTAACTGCATAATTTCGCCAATGAAGAAGTATTTTTAGTCATTCAATTTAGTTAATTGCATAATCTTGCCCATGAATTATTGACGCATGTTTAACCTGCATGATAGAATGTCACGTGCTTGTTAGAATAAAATTGTTATCACAGAAGCATATTGAGTGTTCTTTCCAAGTCCATGCAAAACCATCTTATTCATAAGAGCTGTATCCTGCGATGAGATATGAAAATGGAGACCTAAAATATTATAACACACACTAGGATAATCGGTAAATGAATCTATGATAATCGTGTTATCCTGATTGATAACTCTGGATAAACGAAACTAAGCAAATTATCATAACTGCACACATTAACATAATCGCAAGCCTCCGCATAAATTACTACGATTATCATAATTTATGCATATAATCACACGCATTATCATAATTTATGCGTATTAATACACGCATTATCATAATTAATGCGATTTGTGCATTTTTCGGAAAATTATTAATTTTTATTATTTTCATCAAAATTTCATAATCACAACACATACAACACTGCCCACAATACTGCACGTCTGTCAAAAATACCTTAACGGCTCAGCGGATTCCTCCAGTACAAATAAAGATTCTGATTCTGACAATCGCCCTCCCGGCCTCCCCTCACAGGTCGGATTTTCTAAGCAGCACAGATTTTTGCTCGCCTGCTCCGTCGGATAGCTTGTCTGCGTTTGTATTCTATGTTGTCTTTTGCAACTCCCAAAACTGAGCCGCGTCTGTCTCCCGGTCGCTCATCACAGCACGGACTCTCCACCACGTGGCTGTCAACGTGAGGGCGGGCGGCGCTGATTCGCACACCGGGCAACATTGACAGTGGGACACCTGAGACGTCCCAGAATTAGTGACAATAAGTTTGCTCGGGAGTTTATTGTGCCATATCACTGGTGCCAAGTAGCACATTGTGCAGTGGCATCTGCAGGGTAAAATATGAATGATGTTGTACTGTTTGACTATTTCACGTAATTTGCTGAGATTGCAATGTGGGAAAATTAGACATTGGTAATTCCAATAAACAGTACTGTATGTGTAATACTTGAATATGCTTGAAGTTTCATAAACAATATATTGTACCAGATGTATTTATTGCTTCTAAACAATAATAGATGCAAGTACTGTGTGCGAGTATTTTAACCATTTGTATTTTTCTTTTCCATGGAATGAACACAAGCAAAATCTTCTGAGAAGTTACTCCCTTGTAAGGAATGCGGGAAGGCTTTTGCATTAATTTCTAAACTGAAGAGGCATCAGATGACGCATTCAAAACCGTACTTTTGCAAAGAGTGTGGAAAAAGATTTTCGAAACTCTTCAACCTGAAGACCCATCAGGTAACGCACACGGGAGAGTGGCCGCACGTTTGTGACGCATGCGGAAAGGGCTTTCCACACATATCGCAACTCAACACCCACAAGATGACACATACGGGAGAGTGGCCGTACGTTTGTGAAGAGTGCGGGAAAGGATTTTCATGCATTTCTCATTTGGAAAAGCATAAGAGGACGCACACCGGGGAAAAACCGTACAAGTGTGACGAGTGCGGGAAGGGATTTGCCGATATTTCCCACCTGAAAATACATCAGATGACACACACTGGGAAGTGGCCACACGTTTGTAACCAGTGTGGTAAAGGGTTTTCACAGATCTCCCAGCTGACTTCACATCAGATGACGCACAGCGGAGAGTGGCCACATGTGTGCGATGAGTGCGGAAAAGGATATTCGTGCATTTCCCATCTGAAGACTCATCAGAGGATACACACCGGAGAACGTCCGTACACCTGTGAAGAGTGCGGCAAAGGCTTCTCCCAGGTTGCTTACCTCAAAACGCACAAGATGATACACACCGGAGAAAGGCCGTACATCTGTGAAGAGTGCGGCAAAGGCTTCTCGCAAATTTCCACTCTGAAGATGCATCAACGAACGCACACGAGGGAAAGGCCGTATATGTGCGAGGAGTGTGGAAAGGAGTTTTCTCAGATCTCAAACTTGAAGACTCACCGCTTGACACACACCGGACATTGGCCTCACGTCTGTGAAAAGTGTGGAAAGGGATTTTCTCATATTTTCCACTTGCAGACACACGAGAGGACGCACACAGGTGTGAGGCCGTATGCCTGTAAGGTTTGCGGTAAAGGATTTTCGAACCTTTCCAACCTAAAGACGCATCGTCGGACTCACACTGGTGAGAGGCCGCACGTGTGCATCGAGTGTGGGAAAGGATTTTCGTGTATTTCCCACTTAAAGAGACACAGGAAAACGCATACTCATAATGAAGAACTCTAGGATTTGTTAAAAATTAATAGCATGGCTGGCAAGTGTTCTGATTTGACAGGACATTGTCAATTTTTTGGGATAAATACTCATAGCCCACTTGGCCATTCTCATACCTGTCAATCCCTTATCAGTGCCCTACCTTATTACAGACCAATTCAGACCTTATTGGTCACCCCGTGCCGTTATAAATCTCAACGTTCATCCTACAAAATCTCATCACAAGAGAGAAACAAACAACTAGACAAAAAACTTTTTTTTTCACGTATTGAAAGGCCGTATGGACCTGAAAACTCAATTTCCGGGCCCTCGGTTGGGATGTTTTGGTTCGGTGCGGTCGTGAGGATCTACACGGTGTGCGCCGTGGAGTGAGAACGATCGAGGAAACACCTTTAGGACTCATATTCCGGTAAAGTCACGTAGAAGGGAAATAATAAAATAATAAAAATGAAACAAAATTATCACGACGTTTCGATTGCAACACAAGCAATCATCAGGTGTGAAAACCAAAACAAACGTGAGAATTGTATTGTTTTATTTTTATTATTTCCCTTCTACGTGACTTTACCGAAAGAACCAAGAATATGAATCCCTGCAGTCACGAAAGCTTTAAATCGAAACCTTTAGGACTTTTTACGCTCCCCTGTTAAATCCACCGCGCTGAGATTTGCACACCCTTAGGATGAATATGGTCCTGCATTGCGTGCACTTGTTCCTGCGCTTTGCCCCCTTTATGCCTGCTGTATCTAATCTTAAAAACAGATTAGAGACGACCTGAGACAATTTGCAAGCACCAAAATCTTGTGGTGCTATGCATTTAAAATGGAGCAGGAATTTGGATTCGCGCGGACCGTACAAAACGCGAGTCTTCGGCAGTCGCCCGCAGTCGAGAATTGATTGTCTTCCAGCAACGGTATCTCGGCCTCGCTGTGCGCTGCGTTGCACCGCGAGTCGAGTAGATAACCTTGCGTTCAATAAACCCTCAGAGCCAGGATGAACGTCCGACTCCAATCGTCATTTATTGATTTTAACAAGGTAAAACTGGTGAGAAAACACAGATACAGCATCTGTTATAATCCGGAAACACCAACACAATGAACACCACAGCATCAGAACATTGTATTAGATAACAATAGATCCTGGACGGACCAGGCCCCTACATTACCACTGAACAACTACACAAGAGCACAAGCCGGTGCGTTGCATAAAGGCACATCGTGTATTCATCCCACTGCACCCCAAATGTACAGCATTACACATAACACTAAACTGTGGATGAGATACTTTGTCATCTTTGCTCTCACGATCGCAACATAGCCACCTGGGCACAAGTCTGACTCGACTTACTAAATCACAAGTAACATCCACAATAAGGAAAGTTGCAGGCTTCATTGCTAACTAGGCCTCGTATTTACCACAACAACTTAACGGCACCATAAAGGCATTTACATCACTATAACGGTCATTCCAACATTGCAACAGCATTGCCAATATTATAAGAATATTTACAAACTTACAGACAATGCTTCTCAAAGTCCCACAATGGACAACTACGTCTGGCTTCACTGAGACGCGATGTGTGCCGCCATCTTGACTTATCTGTGTAATGGGCGATGCCTGCGTGGGTCAGTGGAAATCTAAAATCGTAACTTCCTGGTCACGTGACCAAAATTAGCATCAAAAACAGGAAATTCCTGTGTACATACCCCCCCCCCCCCCCATCTGCCGTGCGGCAAAACTCCTGCCGTGAGACAGAACAAACGTCTTATCTGTAGGTCCGAAGATGGCTGAAGAGGACAACGTTCAACCTAAATCAAAATTTGGAATTATTTTGTGAAATATTAAAAAGCTGTGCAATGTAAAAAAAAATTATGAGCGTTGATATATGAAAGGATGATGAAGGCCTCCCACATTGTTGGTGGTGGGAATGCCATGAACCGGTTGAGATGGTCACGCTCCACTGAGCTGTGGCCGGGAATCAAACGTAGGTTGTGCCACTAACCCACCCTGCTGCCACGCTGGTGAGATTATAGTAATGTCATCGTTTTTTTTTTCACCATACGAAGTTTCATGTGTGATGGTGAAAACGTATTATTTTTGTAACTATTCATAAAAGTTATGAAAAAAATAAGATTAGGTTTTTACCCTTTTTGGCAATACAACAGGTGTTAAGATGTTCAAACACCAAATAGATACAATTTTCAAGGAATCAAGTTCGCATTAGCCACACGGTACTTGTGGTGAACATGCAAACCAAACATGCTTTGATAACATTTTCATTGTCTTTGAAACTGATTGACCTACACCAGAGAACGCCAAAAGGTGAACAGATCCTGGCAATAAGGTCCCGTGCATTATAGTTGTCAAAAGAGCTGCTGTTTGAATGAAATAATATCTTGAAAATGGACCAGCAGCAAAAATGTATAATACGTGCCCCAAAGGGAGATAGTTCAGTCGGTAAATAAAGTACTTGTACGGTATGCAGTGTTCCATGATTGTCACAGATGTGTTTATTGTAAAATGCGCCGTGTGTACAAGCATCACCTGAATTTTGAATGCATGAGAGTTGTGTTCATAAATTGACATTAATTTTCCTTTGTTAAAATTGTGCAATTTGCTTATTTAACTCAAATAAAGGTAAATCATGTTATGCTTGTTTGTGTATCGCTTCTTTGGTTACTGGTCATGATGTAATTGTAATAAAAGGGGATTCTTCAAGTTGAGTTTAGGCTCACAGAGCATGTGCGGAAGAGATGTAGTGAGGTTATTCCTGGCTGATGAGCAATGTGGTTGTCTCATTCCCAGGAAGGGAGGATTGATACGTGTATATTTAGTGATTGATTCAAATCAACATTACAGTATAAACAATGTACATTAATATACCAATATCCATAGAAGTTTTTTTGTTAGATCGCGTAAATATAAATGTCGTTAATCCCGCCACCACCCGACAGGCAAATATTAAGGGTTGTCACTTAAACAAAACATGCCAATTCGTTACAAGTTCAGCACACCTGTGTGTTAGATAGTAAGCCCACAACATTGTAATTACTGGTGAAACGTCGTACTCGAATTGTAAATGATGTGGGTTTACTCTCCAACACACCGGTGTGCTGTGCTAGTGTAGTGTAATATCGCCGACTGCTGTCCGGCAACGGCAACTGCGGTGGACGAGCAGTACACACGCCGGTGAGCACTTATGCGGGTGTGTCGGAAGGGTGGAGGGACTGGGACAAGGGTCACAGAGACCCCGTCTGGAAGCCCCTGGAACCCGCTTGTGGGTTCGAGAAGGGAGGCGTGGCCAGGGCGGAGCTGAGAGCTTGTGGCTGCCGGTTCTGAGTGTGGACTCGTCTCGTTGCTGCCACCTTCGCTGCTTTCGTCGCTGCTGGTTTCGCTGGACATTGCGCGGCCGGATAGTTGTTGGCTGTCTTGGTCGACGCCGTCGGTGTAACACGGTCAACGCATTGGCACGTTCTGTTTACGTGACAAATATTAGTAATTGGCTGTGTCGGGTGGTGGCAGGTTTAACGACACATTTATATTCACGCGATCTAACCCAAAAACCTCATGGATATCATACATGGTTGATTGTAATAAAATAAAGCTTATACTGTATTGCACTTTTAAACATTTTTAAACAGATGTTTAAAAGCATTAACCATCTTAAACAAGGACAATAAGGCAGCCCGTTCAGGAAGGCTTGAGTCGATTTTTTTCCCTCCTCAAGTTCCAACATGGTTTTGTTTTAAGCGGGTGATGCTGTACTTCAGTGTGGATTTGGGAACTCCTGACCCTAAACCCTGTCTAATTTCCAGCGCGTGTTATTTGGCATGTATTGTGCCAACGTGAGGTTGTTCAGTTTAAAATAAAGTACAGGGACTCCTCTACTTACGAACATTCGACTTACAAACTTTCAGAGAAATGAACAAACCTGGTCCGTATGTCCAGTTGCCTGTTCGTACTGAGAGTCGTAAGTTCAACCGCACCGCAATAGATGGCGGCATCTACATCTGCAGAACATGAAGAACCAGTGGCATCTACATTTTCATAACATGAAAAACCAGTGGCATCTACATCTGCAGAACATGAAGAACCAGCGGCATCTAAAGGGAGAGTATCTAATACTCTTTGGTTCTTTCGGTAAAGTCACGTAGTTAGAAATAAAATGAAACAAATCACGACGTTTCGATCGCAACACAAGCGACCTTCATCAAGTGGCACCGATACAGCAGGACAACCGCTGACACAGGAGGAAGAGCTGCTGACAATAAGAGCTTATAAAGGGTTGTGGTGGGCCCAACCCAAGGGTAAGTGGGTGGAGCTCGAGAAGGAAGCTCTCGAAGTAATTGTCAAATCTTTTTAATTCATCAACTGTTTTTTTATAAATTTAAATACCTCGTTTCCTTCATTGTAATTCGTCTTATTTGGCGTTAGAAAAAATCGGATCTTTTTGCCTCGTGTTTCTTTCAACATTCCCAGCCTTAAGGCGATTCAGTTGGGGGTGGGAGGAGTGGGGCTGGGTGGAGAGGGGAGGGTGGGGAGGGGCTGGGTAGGGAGTAGAGGGTGGAGTTGCGTGGGGGGAGGGGCATGGGTGGGGAGGGTGGGGCTGAGTGGGGTGGGGCTGGTCACCCCGTGGTCTCCTTATAAAACCCAACGTTTAACCTACACACTACACTTGCACAGGTAGGAACAACAGCTGCCACACTGGCCACCAGGGATTATTTGTCTTTCGTGCACGAATTCGCTATCCAACCAAGTGCCTACTTGCCCACTCCAAAGGAACGTGTTTTGGCGTTAGACCACATTAAACTATCACTCAACAATTAAAAGATTTAAGTTAAGGTGAAGTATTCAGTCGTGCGGGATGAAAGTAATTCGGTTTGAATGAAGCCAACATCCTTTGTCTGGCCACATTCCCACAATAAAGTAAGTGAAGGCTATGCACCAACATGTTTTGGAGGTCATCTGTAAACAATTCGCATGTGTCCGTCATTTTCCAGACTTTATACTTATGTTTGAGAGAAACATGCTTAACACCAAACAGGACTTTCGGGGTAAACTGAAACGTTAAAAGATGCAAAACTTCGAATGTGCCAAAACCATGAAAATAGTGCAATCAATCTAATGCAACTACCCCTTCCCCACATTTCAGGTATTTGGAACGGTCCAAATTTGGGGGGTGGGGGACAAACCCAGCATTCCGGCCACATTCGTTAGCACACCTTCGTGGTGGTTGTGCCCAACGTGTTGCGGTTATGGTGCAGTTGTGGGAACGTGGCTTTGAGTACGGTCACGTGGGGGGGGGGGGGGGGGGGTGGTAAATATTGATAACCATGTTGGTAATACATACATGGTGTTGATATTGTTCATTTATCACTTACAGCATTACAGATCAAAAGGCTGGGTTGTTCCTGGGAAAGTATGTGCAAGAAATCCAGATCACTTGCTAATCAAAAGTTTCATCCCACGCAAATACACGAAGTATAAACAGCGGTATGAAAATGAATAGTGCAGCCCATCCTACGTTGCAAAGTTGCCAACTATATCGATTCTTCCAATTATGAAACCACAGAACTGCAAGCAGGAAACGGATTCCTGGCACGTTCCATATCGCTACTCATCCTGGTAGCTGCCCATCGTGGACATTGCATGGATAACCACTGCACTCGATTATTTTCCTAGAGTATCAAGGTCACAAGCACGTCACGTTGATGTGATCACACCGTTTATTTCATAGTATCCGTATCAAGCAACAGGCGCGTTACACTTGGAATGCGCGCAGCGCGTGGGTCCTGCCATTCCGCTCGTGGTGCGCTCGGAAGTTCTGGTGGCAGCAGAATTTCAAGGCGGCGATCGTGATCACGAACTCGAGGAAGTCGACGTTACCATCTTTGTCATCACCAAGGTCCCTCAGGATGCGGCTCACCACGAACCCATCCACGGGATTCTGAATGGAATCAAAGCAGCAGAGTTAGAAAAGCCTATAGACCTGGACTGT